GGCACTGAGCGACATATTCGTTAATAATAGTAGCATTGTCATGTACAGCGCGTCAAATGGAAGAAGAAGAAATGCAGAATACATCGACAGAGGAAAAACGGAGATTACGGTTAGAAGGACACCGAGCCACATTTTCGTTAACGAAGTTTGCATCATCAGGAGGAGTTAACCAGATAAAGGTAAACATGCGATGAAACGTTCAGTTTTGTCTCGAAAAAACGCATTGAAAATTTTACAAAATTTCGATGCGTTAAAATATCCAGTTTTGTCATTTGAATCGCTTCGCAAAAAATGCATTTTTATAATCCTCATTTCTTTTTAAAGCCCATATGATTTGCATTGTATCGCGCTACGGAAAATGATGCAGAAATGACATGAAAATCGCTTCGAAAAAATGTCAAAAATTTAGCGCGATAAAGCATTCATTCATGCCTCGATTATCGCATGAAATATTCCGCAAAATTTCAATGCGTAGAAACAATCAATTCAGGCACTCTAATCGCTTCGAAAAAATGTTATTTTTCTCACACATTTTCCAAAACCGATTTTTCGGTTCCAATCAATTTTCGTCTGAAAATACAGCCAATAAAATTCATATCAAAATTACTATGCAAATTTAGTATTCGAAATATCGAAATCATTTTCTTCAAAGCATTATTTAGGATGTTTCGCTAATCAAAATGTTATACACATCAACTGCTTTAAAAAAACGCATTTTTTTTGTTACATATTTTCAAAAAATAGGAATATCGTCTAACAGAAAGGCAGTAAATTGTTTGTAAGAAAGAGAAGAGGTTGTTATGATATAGAGCAAGAAATTTATGTCAGGTTCATTGTGTGAAGAAGATATATGACAACGGTGCATATGTTTCAGAGCACTTCATGTCATGTTTTATGAAACAGAGCGTCTTGGATTAAGGAAATTCTCGATTGATGATTTTTACAGAAGAAACGTATACAAGGCGTATCACAATACTTTTGTGACAATACCTGCATAAAACGCATACCAATACCAATGCATAGTACGCGTAAACATTATGATATACAACAAGGAATTCATGTCAAGTTCATTGTGTGAAGAAGGTATATGACAACTGTTGAAGTTGACTGAGTATAAGAAATTCTGTACATTCCTCCAAGATGACCGATCCTGTCAGGCAGAAATTAAAAATTTTACTTAAATAAATAATCGTTTTAATCAGGCCCTGACTTTTCCCCTCTGTGCGACAGAGAAAGCAATACTTCTGCCTCGCTTACTCGTAGACTGCGACTTCAAAGGTGCCGCCGAGAGTGTTTCAGCTGTATAGTAAGTAAGCTGTGGCATAATCATGTCGCTGGAATTGCAAAGGCTGCTTCTCAAAAGCTTGGAACACTGTTCCGAACCAGAAAACTATACACACCTCAGCAACTTTTGATGCTTTATGAAGCTCAGATCAGACCTGCTTTGGAGTATTGTTCTCATGTTTGGAGCTGATTGGAGACGCAACATCACGTGCAACCTTGATTGATAGCCTGGAACATCAAAGAAAGGTTGGAGATTTGTCTCTCTTCTATAGATACTTTCACGGGAGGTGTTCAAGTGACTTGGCACATTTGATTCCACCAAGAGCGGTGCATATCAGAAATAAGCGACGGACTGTAGCTGCTCATCGTTTTGAGGTTCAACTCAATACACATCGAACTTCACTGTTTAAGAACTCTTTCATCTGGAGAACTGCATTTATGGGAAAAAAAGTTCCTGAGAATGTTTTTCCAAATGGATTTAATCTCCAGCGATTCAAATCCAATGTGAATCGCTACTTTCGCTCTGATAGCACCTCAAGGATTTTCCTGCAGTGCTGTTGTGTCCTTAAACAATCTCTATTTCAATGTTGATTTTTACAATAATCTGAATACACTTGACATTTCCGAAACGGCAAATAATATTTTGAAAATAAAATATTTGAATAATATACAGAGTGTTGCCTTGAAAATGAGAAAGTTAGTGATCATTGTTACAAAATGAGTAACTTAAATTACGAATCGATGTGTCGAAGCGTTATTTTGAAGACTCTACCTTTTATTTATTATCGAATTTATACCTTTTGGCTGATACATTACATTATTTGTAATAAAAATAAATATAACAGAGTTCTCTTCATAATGTTCATAAAAAGGCATGCTATGTTGAAACTCCAAGATAGAATAGTTTTAATGCATATGATAGAAATGACCGATACTTGATGAAAATCCATTATAACGTATATAAAAAATTCCCAAAAAACTTCAATGTGCGATTTCCACTTGACAGTTTACAAAATCGCGACATATGTTTCACTATACACGATCTCATTCAGGCATCATAAATACGCAATGCCCAATGTATTGTGATGTCTGAAGATGTGATGGAAAGAATTTGTTTTTCTGTTAACAAGCTTGCGCCATCATACGATCAACATCCCTCAAAAGTCAACATTTGTGCGACTCCTTCATCCTTCTATTTTGTATCAAGATGGAGTAGTAGAAAGCCAAAAACTTTCTTTCCCAAAAAATATAATTCAACTTTCACACTAGCAGATAATCCTATGAATGAACTGAACTCATATGCTACCCAACAAGCTGTCGTTCAACTGAATGAAGTAAATAGTTTCGGATGGCCAAAAATAATTTGATAGATATTGTAATACGTTTACTAAGTGTTCGGCAAAACAATTGAAACCATTTTTTAGCAAAATATATGTTTGTTGATAATTTTGGTCCTCGTTTCGATATAAGAGGAGGTGATCACGAATATATCTCTCTATCAACTGAAAAATGGGTTTGGAAATAAGTGGTAGAAAAGTGAAAATTAGTGGTAATTATTCTGGCAGCCCACGACGTCACTAGCACATTAATAAAGGGCATCGTATTTTTCGAAAAAAATGCCTAAAGATTCATTTGTCGTTGCAGACTTCACCATCATAAGCAAGGTTACTTTCCCTATCGTCTGTAGAGGAGAATTGCCATACGCTGTCCTGGTAAAAAAAGCACGGCTTCCGAGGAACCCCTTATATTACAAAATCCAATGAATCAGCTTATGGACCTTAATTCTGGTCATTTTGTCACCTCCGGTAGAAACTTTGTGGAATGTGAAGTGTATAAGAGGGAGCAGAACGGCAATATATGTGTGAATGAGCAAGAAACCTATAACGTTGGCGAAGGGTAGAAAAAACAAAGATTGGCGCATGCCAAAAAGGCATGTCAATAATAGTAGCCAACAAATAAGAAAAAAATGCGACTAATATTATTGTTGTAAATCATGCTCGAAAGGAAATAACGCCGGCCGCCACTGGTAACCATAGACCAAACGTGACTTAGTTGAGAGCGCGGAAATGCCCAATGTTCCCTGTCGCTCGAGAAACAGCAAAGAACTTCGGCGAAAATTCTACGATGTTCCATTGTGATATTTATACGTTGGCAGCAAGCGTATTCGGACAATCAAGTACAGAGTCAAGTGAAAGATACAGTGCGATGCGCGAAGTGATCTAGTAAGGTGATAGACATTCAAATAATAGTTGAAATTTTGAGTTGAAGTGTTTGTTGTATTTCAAGTGAAATAAAGTTGAGTTTGAAATTTCAGTGTAGTCATTTATTGATTAACCTACGGGTAAAAACGTGACATTTGATGTCGGAAGTGGAATAATTGACTGTAATTTTACTGTTTCATGTTGAAAACAAGGAGTGTCAAATACGTCGGAATGGAAAAGCTTGGGAAAATGTTTGAGGCTTTGCAAACGAGCCTGGGGGAGAATGAAAAACGCCAGAAGAGTTAAGGATGAACGCAAAAGAGAGGAAGAACAATTACGCCGAACTGAAAATCGTAAATTACTGCTAGGTATTCAGGACACACTTGCTGGTGAATATTCAAGAAAAACAGGAGAAAGACAGAGACTTGCTGATGAATATTCAAGAAAAACAGGAGAAAGACAGAGACTTGCTGATGAATATTCAAGAAAAACAGGAAAAAGACAGACTTACTGGTAAATATTCAGGAAAAACAGAAAAAAGACAATCAGATGTCGTACCTTTATCTATTGGAAGATTTAAAATCTTCATTAGTGAGTAGAGGAGAGGTACAGGAATTTATTCAGGAAGAATTTGGAAAAGTGTTTCAGGAAACAAAGGAGGGATTAGAAAAAGCAGTTGATGAGAAGCTTGAGGGGGTTGAAAATAAATTTGAAGAAGAGCTTGAGAAAAAGCTTGAAGGAGTCGACAATAAGTTTGAAGAGATTTTCCGGGAACTTCGGAAAGAATTACCGGAACCGAAAAGGATTACTGTGGAAAAATGCCAATCAGAAAAGACATATTCCCCTTCTAGCAGTAGTTTTATTAAAACTCCAACTTTCTCTGTCGAATCTTCATGGTCAATTTATCGTAGACAATTTGAGGCCGCTGCGGAAAATAATGGGTGGAGAAATTAGGAGAAAGCAACAGCTCTCATACTGCCACTACGAGGAAAAGCTTCCGAAATTCTGCAAAATATTCCAGTGAATGAGCAAGATGATTATGAAGCTTTGGAGGTCAGATATGGTAGTGAGCATCTTCAACAAGTCTACCAATCTCAACTGAAGGTGAGAACTCAAGTTCCATCAGAAAGTTTGCCAGAGTTTGAAGCTGGAAGTCGAGAGGCTAGTAAGACTCGCCTACCCAAAAGCACCAGATAACTTCACCCACTGGATTAGTGTCCTTAGTTTCATAGACGGGGTTCGTGCACGGAGCTGCAGCAGTCATTGAGAATGGCCATCATTTATGCCCTTGAATTTGAAGCTGCTAAAAATGCTTCCCGACAACAACGAAAAGTTCTAGTGAGGTCAATCGATGAAAAGGAAGACGAAGGAACAGATCGACTCATGGTGGGTCTTGAAGAACTCTTAAAGAAATTTTTGATGAATGGAACTGCACTCAAGGCAAGAGGACGGCCTAAATGTTATAACTGCGGAAGGATATTTAAGGCGAAAGAAGAGGCTGGCGTTCGGAATCACCCGAACTAGAGCGTCGGGGTTCAGAAAACTAAATCCAGCCAGTGTTAGAGGGGGTACATTGGCTGATGCATCCCAAGCCCCCAGGTATTCGATTTCCATGATTAGACCCAACAGTAGTAACAATTTAGTTATCGACGGATTCCTGAATGATCATCAGTGCCTTTTTATCATCGATACTGGAGCAACAAGGTCAGTAATGAGAGCCGACATTTCCAACAGAAGCAGTTTGAAGAAATTATCAGTAGTACCTGTTCTGGAAATAGCCACTGGAGATAGATTGACAGTCTATGGAGAAGCTGAAGTGAGACAAAGGTTTGGACACTGCGAAATAGAAACTAAGGTTTTAGTGGCCAACATCGTTGACGAATTCATTCTGGGACTAGACATCATGTCCCCCTACGGATCCGTGGTGGACATAGGGAACAAACTGTTGAAGGGACGGAAATGAGGAAATTTTGCTCGACGTGCCCTCTCAGCCTTATGACAGCGTCAAGGTGATTATACTGGAAGATTCTAGAATCTCTCCCAACACCGAGAAAATTATTCAAGCGGAAATTGCTGTGCATTACGGCTTGAGTACAGCATTGATAGATTCATCCAACAGCTCTGAATCAGGAATTATCGTGGCCAGATCCCTCGTGAATGGTAACAATCAGACCATTCCAGTAAAAATAATCAACCCAAATAATAACAGGGTGACTCTCAAGAAAGGGCAAGTAATAGGCACCTGCGAACCGATCATGAAAATCGCCAAAATCGAAGAAGAAGTCGCTCTACAGTATGCTCAACAACCCGCAAAGGAACTCATAGACTGTTTCAAGAAAAAGTGGAGTCATCTGTTGGAAGAGGAACTATGCAAGACCACCAATTCGTCGAGGAAAAGAACAATATATTTGTGAAGGGCAAAATCATTGGTCGAACTGATTTAGTTCAACATCGCATTGATACTGGCGATGCCAAGCCCATACGTCAACCACTGATACGTCTTCCCTTCGCAAAGCAAGACGAAGCTGCATCCATTATTAAGGACATGTTGGAGGAAGGAGTAATCAAGGAATCAAACAGCCCCTGGTCGTCACCCGTTGTGTTAGTGACTAAGAAAGATGGATCGACAAGATTTTGCGTAGACTACAGGAAGCAGATGGCTTCCTTCTTCGACAAAAATCAACTAAAAGGGTAAGGGAGCTGGGCTCCAACCTGAATGAATTGAAGACGCTTGGTCGTAAGCCTTCAGATATGTTTTCAATTTTTTCTTGAAATTATATATGGAGTAGTGTCTGAATTCACTGTGCAGAGCGTTATATTGTTTGATAGAGTTGTAGATAAAACTACGAGAGAAGCAGGTTGTCGAGTGTTTTGGAATAATGAAAGAGTGACGGTTTCATGTCCTCGAATTATTCTGAGATTTGAAAGTTTTATATTTTTCATAAATATAATTTGGCTCTCGGAGGCCATTCTTTTACTTGATAATGGCTCTGTGTTGCCATACTGTTCCAAAGGCAAAGAAAACAGTAAAACTTCGTAAATCCGCCTTGAAGACCTACTAATAGTCCTATGACTTTTAGGTCACCACATATTTGCCACTTGTACGTATTATAACTTATTGCATTCAGAATAAGTGACATACTTTCGTGTGTTTCCTTCATGGTTACTGCATGTGCAAGAGGAGAAAAGGGTCTTTTGTTACCATTTGACAGCCATCCTCAGTTCAATCAGGTTGGAGCCTAGCTCCCTTACCCATGTAGCTGATTTTTGTCAGAAGGACAAATGGGTGCATGACTAAGAGGTGGTTTTGTTACCATTCCGACAGCCATCGACAGTTCAATCAGGTTGGAGCCTGCTCCCTTAGCCTTGTAGCTGATTTTTGTCAGGGGGACAAATAGGTTCATGACTAAAAGGTACCGCCCTTCACAGTGTACCCCTACCTGGCTGGGCTGGGATGGATGAAAAACTTGTTCATCCTTTAACGGGGAACATGAGGCCCTTATTCAACAGAGTGTCGAGGCCTTCTATATCTGGAGGGGTCGTCTACAGTATAATCAATAGCTTCCCTAACTAAAGGTTTGTTAACATTAAGATGTCTAAAAACTCTTTGTTTGAAGGTAGTGAATATACTCATACCTGTAAAAGTTTGGGACAAAATGAGGGATTTATAGCTAACTTGATTAGGAGAGATCAACGCGTCGTTTCAGATGACGCAAGCAGTCTTTACAGTAAACTGTAATCATAGACCACACAGGGTGTATTTGAATTTATATTTAATTCTAAATTCCACATTCTTTTTTCATAATGTGCTTTTAGGATAACTTGAGAAGTGAGTTAATGAATTTTTTGTGTTTTAAGTGTTATTGGCGAATTGTCAGTATTAAATCGAAAGATAAGTGTCCAAGTTCTGGTGAATTATTAGTTGAAGTTTAAACCCAAGCAAAGTTTTGATGAAATTTCGTGTAATTCCTTGATATTTCAACCCAAGAATTGTTTGCAGATGTTATTATGTAGGTACTTGACACTGGTTGTTTATTGGAACAAATTCAGCAAAACAGGTGATAAGTATAAAGATTATATACTTGAATACATGTTTTTGGTATGGTATTGGAATGGAAAAACTTTTTTATCCAGACACAGAGGTCTCAAATTGTATGATTCCAGAAAAATTTCGGTTTCTTTTGGACAAAAGCTAATCATGATCTTTGTAAACATGAAATTTCTTATTTTATTTATATCACAACTCATGGAACTACAATATTTCCTTCACGAATCTGATAAAGGTTCCTTACATTTTTCAGTTGAATATGTCTATAATCTTTAATTTTCACACAATTTACATACATATAATCCAGCTGAAATCATTATGAAGGTGAGAAATAATAATAACCTCTTTTTCCCAAAAAGGTATTTGCAAACTTAAAAAAAATCAAATATATACGTATGATAGGAAAAAAATTTCAGCAATAAAACATGAGATAATGAATGTGTAACTATGTTATATATAAATGCAGTGTCACAAGAAGTAGGTATGCAAAAAATTAAAAACTATTTTACTCTGAATGTCAGACAAAGTTATATGTCATAGGAGTTGGTGCTTCGCAAGGAACTCCATGATGGGTGATGGGGAAAGTTGTGTTGAGTCCTTGGTTTGTACATTAAACATAATTATTTTCAAAAAGTCATTCAAAAGTCTCTCTATTTTTGGAAATACAGAAAAAAATCATTCGGAACATTTTTACGTTTCAAAAAAAGAACAGAAAACAAAAGCAATTATCTCTCATATAGTGTTATGAATTCATGAAACAACAAATATTTCAATAACTACGGAACTACGGAATAATAATTGAAAATGATTTTAGTCTAATCAACAAGTTCAAAAACATGAAAAATAGAGATGAAGGTCCTAAAAATATGAGCGATAGCTCATTCGATTCGGAATCACCTCTAAAAAAATTTTTTGGAAGGATT